TGTTTTGTTTTAAAACCAAATTACCTCAAAGGAGGCCCAACAAGTCCAAKCCCAAAAGATAAGAAATCTACCCCCCTCCTAAACAAGACCCACCACACAGGATCTGGTAAATATTAATTTAAATGGGATTTTAGAGCCCGATAAATATAGATAAATTCAATTAACATTCACTTTTAAATTAAATGAAAAATCTCCTGATTCGAGACTAACTAACCTGAGGGACTCGGGGCGTTACACCCTAGTTCATTATAATACTTGTACATCCCACTCGCTTTCGGACAAGTGGGAGATTGTTGGATTTGGTGCCCTTAGCTCGTGTATTTGTAATTTATGAACAAATTATTTATTAAATAAAGAGTTATCTTATTATTTCTTTGTATTACTCATATTTAAATAAACTAAGATCCAAGGTTATTTAATGTAACTAGAACGTTATATATTTGATATACAGTATATATTTAATATACAATGTATATATTTGATATAAAGTATATATTAGATAAACATGTGGATAATGTTCCAGTAATAATCTAGATGGTCTATAGTTACAAGCACTTGTGAAGGATTGACTTGCCCTTAATGGTCGTACATTCGTAGACACGAAAATATTATGCAGTGAGAAGAGTGCAGTTGTGGGTCTTTATTGGAGTAACCCGCAGTTAACAAATGTTGGTTAATTTGGTTAATGAGTTTAATGAATTAACCTCGTATTTTTTAGGTCCATTAGATCCCCTCACTAGCTCATAACGGGTAAAACGAGGATCAAGATTTTGAGAGAATTTGAAATGTTCAAATTATATATTAGATAATGTATATAATATATATTATGAAACATTATATATATAGTTCATTTTTTTAATAAAGGTTCAATAATTAAACTATATGTTATGAGAGAAATATTTGAATATGATTCAAATAGTTAATATGAATTGGATTCATATTAAAACTAAAGGTTATACAAGAGAGATGCATTTGAATATGATTCAAATATATAGTTTTAATTAAATATGTGATATTTAATTAAAAGTTAAATAATTAATGGTTAATTATTTATTTATTTCATTAATATTTGGATTTAAATTAATTAATTATTAATTAGATTAATAATTAATAATTTAATTAATTAATTGTTAATTGATTTAAATAAAAAGAAGAAGATATCTTTATAGTCTTGGGATTTCCCTAGATTCAGTAGAAAATATCCTACATCTAAATAAGATATCCTGATGGTCTTAGTATTTTCTCTCTGTATAAATATAATAGTAAGTTGAACCCTTAAAAACAAGGCTAAAAAATCTATCAACTCTCTTACTCTCTCAATCCCTTGCAATTGGATCCCATAATCTAGATTCTCGACTGAGAGATTTAGCGAGGAACATCAAGTGGTTTTGTCTCATTGGGATTGCACGAAGAAGAATCTTCAAAGGCAAAATCCAACATTCTTTCCTGTGTTTATATTTTTGTGTTTTAAATTTTAAAAGAAATTCAAGAACGCGTTCTACTGCTTCCGCTCCGGGATTCACATCCCCTTCAATTTTTTCGACTTGGTTGTAACAGGCCTCGCTCCTATCATAGCCTTACACGTATAGTACAGGGGGGACTGCTTTCCACCTTCTTCCTTGATTAATGTCGAGCTTACCGCGCTCTCCGATACGGTTAAGTAGAGGTACAAGTCGTCTCCTCGATTCGGCTTGGCGAGGAGGGTACTTCTTCAGCTACACGAAAGTTGGCTCGCTCGCGTAGCATACATTGTTAACTGTTTGTGGTCTCGTGCCTTACTGTCATCCCTAATGCTCGACACATACCCTGCTCGAATTTCTGGGAAATTGGGCTAAATAGCCCTTTTACCATGACATTATTATTTTTTACCCACTTTTTTCAAAATCTATGTTTTTTAATATTTGCTGACATCACCCTTGATACCAAATTACTTTCACTGCCCCTCATACATTTATCTTTTTTGTTTCTCTCCCATCTCTTCCCCTTCTCCTCCTATTTTTTTCTCTCGCTCTATTCAGTCCAAAAACCCCATTTTTGGACCTCAAAATTCAAACAACACCACGAAAAACCTCTCTTTTTTTCCTTACTACTACGTCTCTCTTACTCCTCTCTTACTGCATCGCTGGACCTTAAAATAAAAATATTAAATAGCACTAAAAAAGAGAATAAATCAAGTAGTAATTCGAGTCAAGTTCACACCCAAAAGAGACAAGATAGAACCACATAAATTCTCAAATTGCCAAAAAAAAAGCAACTGTGGTTCGTTTAGAAACATGGGAGAGGCCGATGAACAGCGACTGCGTTGGAGAGAGGAGATTAAGGTGACGGCTACGAGAGGTCACACCGCTGGACCACGTCTCCAACGAATTGCCCAATCTGAGATCTATTTTCACCTAAATCTATTTAGATTTCAGATCTATTTTCGCCCAAATCTCACATATCTCTCTCGTTCTCCCTCTCTCTCATTATTGTTCTCGATCTTTCTCTCTCGTTCTTACCAAAATCTCTCAGATCTCTCTCGCTCTTGCTCTTTATCTCGCTCTAGACACACTCTCGCTCTCGACCGGATTGTCCGCACTTTGATCCAGCAATGGTGATGGTGGCAAGATTCTGCAGCAACCGATCTTGGTGGAGCGTGTGATGAAGGCATAGTGGAAGGACATGGATCATGATGGATAGAGGGAGGCGGCTGGTAAGGTTTTTGTTTTTAGAGATAACGAAGAACCAATAAAAAACCATATTTTTAGTAGAGTACCTAGTAGGTGGTTTTTTTTTTTTTTAATAATTTTGTAGAGAGAGGTAGGTGTTTGATACGTTAAGGAAGAATGATCGAAAATAACATACTTTTTTTTACTTCTTTTATAAAATTATTTGGATTTTTGTTCCATTTTGATAAATTTTTTTAGGGTTTCAAAATTAATCTTTTGCCAAAATGTTTATAGACAAAACCCTGTTTTATTGATGTTTTTGGAAAAAATCGAACGAGAATGAGAGGGAAGAAAAGAAAAATTAGGAGAGAGGAAGAACGATGACTTTTTTGAAGCTATGGAAAAAGAGAGAGAGGAAACCATAGAGAAGTCTAAAAAATGAGTGGAATGATAGTGAAAAAAATGAGTGGAATGATAGTGAAAGTAATTTGGTATTTAGGATGATGTCATATTAGAAAACATAATTTAAAAAAAAATAGATAAAAAAAAATACTGGTTCGGTAAAATGACTATTCTAACCCATAAACCTTTACCATAGGTTAGTCAGCCCAAGTTCCCAAGAAATGCTCTTTCCATATGTATCACTTAAGATATATGTATCACTAATGCAACTCCAGGGCCGAGGCATAATCCTACACAAAGTTCATCGAGTTTCGATCTATATGCTCCGTTTCAAAAATTTGACCACCCTCAAGTTCGGCCTCTTCCAGAAATCCCTGAAATTCCCACCCACAATCCGCCATTTGAGCACCTCAAATTCCTCCTCCAATGGCTCCAGAGACGACTACTTCGCCGCAATCCACCACATCTCCCACATCGTCCGCCGCGACTTCTTCATGGAGCGCACTCTCAACAAGCTACGCATCTCCTTCCTCAACTCCGAGCTCGTTTTCAGAGTCCTCCGCGCCTGCTCCAACTCCCCCACCGAATCCTTCCGTTTCTTCAACTGGGCCTGCTCTCACCACCCCTCTTACCAACCCACCACTCTCGAATTCGAAGAGCTCGTCAAAACCCTAGCCCGATCCAGAAAGTACGCCACCATGTGGAAGGTTCTTCACCAGATGAAGACTCGCAATCTCAAAATCTCGCTAGAGGCACTCTCGTTCGTCATCGAAGAGTACGGTAAGCACGGTCTCGTCGATAATGCAGTTACTGTATTCAATCAGTGTTCTAAATCCATCGATTGCCCTCAAACGGTACTGCTCTATAACGCTTTACTTTCTGCGCTTTGTGAGGTTAAGATGTTTCATGGGGCTTATGCGTTGATTCGGAGGATGATTAGAAAAGGGGTAGCCCCTGATAAGAAGACCTATGGGATTCTTGTAAATGGGTGGTGCTCTGCGGGGAAGATGAGGGAAGCACAGGAGTTTCTGGAGGAGATGAGCCAGAAGGGGTTCAATCCTCCTTTGCGAGGTCGCGACCTTTTGGTTGAAGGATTGTTGAATGCAGGGTATTTAGAATCTGCCAAGAATATGGTTAGAAAAATGACCAAAGAAGGATCTGTGCCTGATGTATCAACCTTTAATTCTCTGATTAGTGTTATATGTAACTCTGGAGAAGTTGATTTTTGCATAAACATTTACCATGAGGTTTGCAAATTGGGGCTTTGCCCTGATATAAACACATACAAGATTTTGGTTCCTGCAACTTCGAAAGTAGGTAGGATTGATGAAGCATTCAAGCTCTTGCATTGCTCTGTCGAGGATGGGCATAAACCGTTTCCTAGTCTGTATGGACCGATCATTAAGGGAATGTGTAGAAGGGGTCAGTTTGACGATGCGTTTTGCTTTTTCAATGATATGAAAGTTAAGGGACATCCACCAAATCGGCCGGTGTATACAATGTTGATAACAATGTGTGGGCGTGGAGGGAGATTTGTTGATGCTGCTAATTACTTGATGGAAATGGCTGAGTTTGGTTTACCACCAATTTCTAGGTGCTTTGATATGGTTACTGATGGATTGAAGAACTGTGGAAAGCATGATTTAGCTAAGAAGATTGAGCAGCTCGAAGTTTCTATTCGAGGCATTTGATATTGCGAATTTGGATTGGCCAGGACTATGGCTGCGACTACGGCTATCTCGGTACGGTATACAATTTCTTCATTGATGTGATGATTTAAGTGTTTGCTACATGATTATCTTGGTCATCTTAACCTGTATTGGCACGTGTTATTGCTACTAAAAGTCACGGTGCTTGGCTTGAGAAAGTTTGGAGGTTAGTTCAAGGAGAATACTTTCTTTCTTGCAAATGTGGAGTTCTTTGTATAAAGAATTTATCAATTGGACAGAGTTTCTTGTGACGTCTTCTGGTTGTGGAGATAGAGAGGTCTTGTGTTCCTTTTATTTTTATGTATAAATTCTTCAATGATGTTATCCAGGAAAAGGAGGAATTGGCTTTGAGATGATGCGACTTATGAAACAGTGATTATCTACCATGTCATTTTTAAAAGACGTTTGTAGGTAAATCAAGTTATACAACAAAGTAGAGTTATTAAATCGAGTCAAAAACTTTCAAAAAAAAAAACAGCAGTCGCGAGTTTGTTCAGCTGCCAGAGACTTTCCAAATTGTTCACCATCTATTTTGATGTTGTTATTGTGGTTAAGATAATACCTTATGGTGGCTTCCTCATTTGCTTACTTGGGTAGTTAAGAAGAGTAAGTTCAAAATGCTCTATCCTCCCATGACCGTCGTCTTTGGCTGATATGATCATAGGGTCACACCAAGAAGCTCCAAAGAATGATTGCCAAGTACGTGCAACACATGATGAACATCGTGCATGAGGAAGAGAAGGAAGGAGTTAAAGTTTTTACCAAGAGTCAAGTAGAGACTGTCGAGTTGGAGGAGTCAATCAAGAGGTGGACTAAATACCAAGGACAACCTGCAAAGGCCCATTCCAACCTCTCAAGGATGGCACCTCTCAAAGACATGGCATGTATCCGCCTGCCGCAAGGCTAATGCCCATTGTGCGTTAGCCATCGCAAGCGCCCAACCCTCCGTGCTGCGTGCTATTGCTTGCCAAGCGCGTGTGCACACGACGTCTATGGACAACCTTTTGCACACCTTGCGACTCAGCGCTTGCAGCCTGCCCTATGAGTCGTGCCCTTGCTGCCCCCTCGCGTGCTGATGTAGTTGTTGGAATCTGCCAGCCTCGTTGCATTTCTCTTTCCTTTTTAGTGAGAGATCTTGAATTGTATCTTTAACAATATTTATTTGCTAGATAGTATTGGAAATAGTTTTGACTTATTTTTAGATAGAGAAATTATTTCTTTAGGATTATTTTTTTTAATTACGAATTTTTGCCATATTTCTTTTTCTCTTGTTAGCCAAATTAGCCATGACTATTTAAAGTCTTACTCGTATAAGCTTTGATAAATTTTGCTAAATAAAATTTCAGTCTTTAATACACTCAATTGTCGAGAGCATTGAGTCCTCCTCCATGCAATTCTTGTGTGTAGCTTAGATGGTATGTCATACAAACGTTCAATCTGATGATCTTTATCATCAAATTTGGAGCTTTCAACTTTGGAGAGTAGGACTCCATATCCTTACTTCAGGTTCTCAACCTAAAAGTCTAAAAGTAATTCGTTTTGAACTTTTCCTTTTGAGTTGAACCAATGGATCGTTTGTGTCTTAATTTTTATTTAATAAGATTCACTTGTCCAAGAAGTTCCATGTCCATTCACTAAGGTTTTGCATATTGTAACAACCCGTATTTTCTAATACCGTCAAACTGACAAAATACAAATTATTTAGCGAAAGCAATTTCTTTACAGAATTTTTCTAAACTAACTTAACTAAACAAGTACGCTAAACTTCACAATGTCCATATCGAATTTCGAAATTCATTTTCCTTTCAAAACATTCGTAAACAAAAATACGAACAGATCAAAACTTTTAAAGTCCTTTAAAATATTTAATGCAATTTTCAAAACTTTCAAAACAAACTAAATTTTCAGAAACAAAGTCTTTAAATAAGATAAAATTTCCAGTCAATCAAAACTAGATTTTCAGAAACAAAGTCTTAAAAAAAGATAAAATTTTGCGTCAATCAAAACAAACTTTTATTCTTTCAAGACAAACATTCATTCGATCAAACAAACATTCATTCGATCAAACTTCAAATCCTTCAAAACAAACTTTTTTTCAATTAAAACTTTCCAAATTCCTTCTAACACATTTGGTACAACTTTCAAACTTTCGAATAACTAAATCATACAAACATTCAAAACAATCCTACATTCATTCATACTTCCAAAAATCAGAGTGGAAGGTTGCATTATTTGGGTAGCCTACAGAACATATGTGGTTATCCGTCGGTAATACCAATCAATCAGAAGCTTCTATCAAAGTTGTCGAAATAATATCGACCAGAACAGAGTTGTCGAAATAATATGGACCAGAACAGAGTTGTGAAAATAATATTGACCAGAACAAACAGAACGGTTACTTAAGTGTGAGGTCATGTGAGTGAATAACACACATGAATCTTCATTCCCAAGGAATGTCAAACCACAAAAGTGTCTTCCTACAAATAAGCTAGAACAGAAATCCATCAAGCAAAACGTTCTTTAAAACAAAATCATGGCATATCCGGATAGCCATATCAAATCAATCAAAATATCTTTCAAATAAAATGCAAAACAAATACTTACTTTCAATATTAAATTAATTCAAAACATTCAACTAATTTAAAATAAATTTTATCAATCCTCCAAAACATGATTTCAAATATTTTACAAATAAACAAAATATCAATTTCAAACCTTTAAATAATATAAACAAAACTTTATCAAATCATATAAGAATACTTCAAATACTTTGCAAATAAACATAATATCAATTGTCAAATTAGCTTTCAAATCTATAATAAAACTTCAATTTCATAGGCAAGATATCAATTTCAAATCTTCCTATCAAATCTAAAAAACATTTTAGTTTTTGAAATATGACAAATCAACACTTTTCAAAGGGATACGGTAAATCACTTACAACAGGATACGGTAAATAACTTACAACGAAGAGATATGATAAATTACTTACCTCTTTCAGAAATCCTACAAATCTTATTAACTTCTTCCTTAGTTGTCAACTTAGAGGTCTAGAAACAACCAATATCCAAAATCAATCCTTAAATCCTATCAAATGATTTAAAATTCAACCAATTACTAGCCAAATCTTTTCTACCCAATTTTCTCATTCAAAACTCTTTTTTTTTACAAAATAATTAGGAAAGTACAGATTTGGAGCTACAAAACCAGATCTGAAAACTGGGTTAAAAAACCTCTAAAATCAACAATAACAACCTTTAAAATTACAAGAATCGGTATAAATTAATACGGACTAAATTTACAAAAAGTTTCTCAACAAAACAAGTTTAAAAGCCTTATAATCAATTGAAAATTTGGGGATTTTAAATCTGGAAAATTTTCTGTTTTATAAAATAAAACTACCAAGAATTTTCCATAAAACAGTTAACAATTTACTGATTTTTATAGAAAAATCAGATCTGAAAACTGTATAGAAAACGTTTAAAACTTGGTAAAAACATATGATTTTTCATATAAAAGTCAGAACAATAAACTATAGTTTATGGGATACAAATAGGTAAACTTTTTACGCAAAAAGCGCCTCAAAATAGCCCAAAACAGTCTCATAAAAAAGATTCAAATCAAAAATTCTGGAAAATTTTTAGGTAAAAAGTCCTTAAAATCTTTTATTCTAAAAAAACAAAGACCTCCAAACTTTTCCCAATAAAATGTATTAAAAAACTACAAATCAAGAAAAATAAAAATAAAACAATGAGGAAGAAAAACTTACGGATCTTTGAGAGAAAATACCAAAACTCTTCTTCTTTTCTTTTCTTTTTCTCTTTGAGATAGAACTAGGTCTAGCTGAAGAAAAATAAAACCGGTTTAAGAGCTTTTATAATAAACTCTAATGAATCCTTTTTAAAAAAAGATTAACATAAAAAAAGATGAAGATTTAATAAAACTCTTACTTTTTATTTTTTTAAATTCTAATAACAAATTATCTTTTAAAAATAATTTCTAAAACAAAAATATTTATCTTTAAGAAAATAAAAGAAAACAATTAAAAAAATAATAATTTAAATATATATATATATATATATATATATATATATTTTTGTTGTTACACATATCATCGGCATGCCATGAATGCCTTACATCTGTTTTTAGTCATGACTACACGAAATTTAAATAGTGAAAATAGAGAGCAAATCCTTTTCTTATAATTTTGATAGGTTCTTCTGTATTAACTCATGGGAAGTTGTGGTCGTTTCGCTCATAGATACTTTTGACGATCTTTTATTGGGTTGGCAATCGTATAAATTCCTTGGGAATACTTTCTGCTACGACGATTTCATTTGGGTTCAAAAGACAACCAACAAAAGAGAGAGCTTCATAGAAATCACAAAGGCGTTTGACTCATAGATACTTTTGACGATCTTCTATTGGGTTGGCAGTCGTATAAATTCCTTAGGAATACTTTCTGCTACGACGGTTTCAATTGGGTTCAAAAGACAACCAACAAAAGAGAGGATTGAAATGAACCAAAGCTAAAAGTACATCGCCAAATTTGTCAATACTATCGAAGTATGTAGTTTTTAGTAAAAATATTAGCACATAGATAATGTAGTATATTTTAAGTCATTATTTGTAACATAACTATTTTTATTTTCATTATTAGATAAAATATACGGAATTATTCATACGTTCTCCAACGGCTTGATCATTTATGTTTCATTTTTTGTCAATACTATTAAATTTATTTGATTATAAAATAAAATTAATTTAAAATATATAAAATCTAACGTGAATATAGTTCAATTGGTTAAAACATATATGTATTCTAGATCAAAAGGTTCGACATTTCGAATCTCCACTTCCACAAATTGTGTTGAACTCAGAAAAATACACACATGTATATATAAAACGTGCATCGAAAGTAATTAATTAGTATTGTTTTAGTTTGAACTCCTCAATATTTATAAAAATTAAAAATTATTACGTGAAAGTTTAGACACCAAAATTTTTTACGTGATTCAAAATTAATGTTTATAAAAATTATCCAACTTCGATGTTTATGAGTTAATTTAAATATTTTTTATGATTTTTTTAATTTTTGCAACTTTTTCAAAAATCGATATTTTTATGAAATTGAGACATCGATATTTCAATCGACATCGATACTTAAAAACTTGCTAGAGTGGCATCCTCCTCACCTTTAGCTTATGGAAGAGATAATGGCCATGTATGCAGGGAGAGATAAAGAAAGATGTCATGAATCTTAAATTATTGCCCAACGGTAAGTATTGCAATTAATTTGTAGCATCAATTATTGGAAAAAGACAAAGATACCTGTCAAAGGCTCACGTTCAAATCTTCACCTCGTGTCATTGTTGAATTTAAAAAAATAAAATAAAATACATATCAAAGTTAATTATTAATTTATGCATTCGAACATATTTTGGTAGATAAAGTAATTATTATTATCTCAAGTTTAGGGTGGTTCAAAATAAATCTGATTTGGGTATCTCTCTTATTCGATCTCTTCATAAAATCTAGCTATCCATTCTCTGGAAATCATGATAAAGGCGTGGTTAACCTTCATGATGGAGAATTTATAGTTAGGGGGTATGAAGATGATTGAATATAGATCGATTGATCGAAGAATTCGATTTAATTAAAAGATAGATTATTATCAAAATAAAAGATTGAGCTTAGATAGATTTTTGATCCATCTCCTAGATATCTCCGGATTCCCCTTTCTCCTCTCTTATGCTATCTAAACTCCTCTAAAAAATCTCTCCCCATTCTCAGCCCATCGTCGACACAGCTTCCTCTTCCTCTTCTTCTTCAAGCAAGCAAAAATCAGAAAATGATTTTTCAAAGATTTTAGCCGAACACAATTCAGCTGAAGCCCATCTGGCTAAGGTTGAAGATCGACTCAAAAATTGGTCTATCCCCAAGATAGATCCAAACCAGGTATACAAAATAAATACCTTCAATTTCTCCCAGCAAGACGTCATCGTCATCACCGAGGAGAACGTGGCTATGAAGGATGAATTCACGGAGATCACTCTTCTCCCTGAAGAAACCCTCTTCAAAGTCAGGAACAAATTCAAATAYCTCCWTATTGGATGTGTTCAAGTAGCCTTGAAACCTCTCTTYAGAGAAGGCTTASATGTCCCAGTTTATCTCGCTCTTCGAGATAAAAGACATCTCAACTTCACTCCCTCTCTTCTAGGGATCGTCGAATCAAATCTGGTTCAAGGACCAGTTTACTTCAACTGCAAACCAGGACTT